TGCTTCCAATTTATTCTGAAACAGAATGTGGGATATTGAAATTCAAGAAACTCATACTACATACATTCTGGAAATGATAAAGATGGGATTTCAAACAAGTGTTATGCACTGAACATTTATTATCAACATAAAAATCTGAAAGCAGTACTCATTCACATTTTACCCCTCACAATAAAGGTAGATCACTCACAAATTGCATCTTACTTTAACAACACATAGCTGTGTTCTCAAACACACTGGTAATCTCATGTATACCTTTTAACACTTGTTGGAACTTCTGAAGTGTTTTTTCACTTCGATTTTACTTTTAGTACTTTGTTTGCAATGTTGTTAAAGCTTGTTTCACTCATGTTGTAAGCTGACAGAGCATGCCAGTATGTTTATGATCGCTAATATATGCTTACATGCTTTAGTAATGAAAATTGACGGCTCCCAAAAGGCTTCTGCACATTATCTACATTCGTAATGTTTCTCCCATGTGAATTCTGATGTGCAATGAAATCTCCCTTTTTTTTCACCACACAGGACATTCATATTGTTCTTATCCTGTGTGGGTTCTCTGATGTGTAATGAGATCTGACTTCTGAGAAAAACTTTTTCCACACTCATTACATTCATAAGGCTTTTCCCCGGTGTGGATTCTTTGATGTTTAATGAGTTGTGGCTTCTGAGAAAAAGCTTTTCCACACTCACTGCATTCATAAGGTTTTTCCCCAGTGTGGATTCTCTGATGTATGATTAGGTCTGACTTGTAATGAAATGCTTTTCCACATTGGCTACACTCATACGGTTTTACCCCTGTGTGGATTCTCTGATGTCCGATTAGGGATGACTTCAGCTTAAATGCTTTTCCACACTGGCTACATTCATAAGGTTTTTCCCCGTTGTGGATTCTCTGATGTATAGCTAGGTATGATTTCTGTTTAAATGCTTTTCCACACTCAATACATTCATAAGGGGTTTCTATTGTATGGATTGCCTGATGTTTAATGAGGTATGAATTCTGAGAAAAAGCTTTTCCACACTCATTGCATTCATAAGGTTTTTCCCCAGTGTGGTTTACCTGATGGGTAAATAGGGATGACTTATGCCTAAAGGCCTGTCCACACTCACTACATTCATAAGGCTTCATTCCTGTGTGGATTCTCTGATGTCTAATGAGGTGTGACTTCTGAGAAAAAGCTTTTCCACAGTCACTACATTCATAAGGTTTTTCCCCTGTGTGGATTCTCTGGTGTGAAGTTAAATATGACTTCACTGTAAATGCTTTTCCACACTCACTGCATTCATAAGATTTTATGCCGGTGTGGTTTATCTGATGTTTGATTAGGGATGACTTATGCTTAAAAGCTTGCCCACACTCACTACATTCATAAGGTTTTTCCCCTGTGTGGACTCTCTGATGTCTAATGAACTTTGATTTATAAAAAAAAGCTTTCCCACACTCACTACATTCATAAGGTTTTACCCCTGTGTGGATTCTCTGATGTATAGTGAGGTGTGACCTCCGAGAAAAAGCTTTTCCACACTCACTACATTCATAAGGTTTTTCCCCGGTGTGTATTCTCTGATGTGAAGTTAGATATGACTTCAGTGTAAATGCTTTTCCACACTCACTACATGCGTAAGGTTTTATGCCGGTGTGGTTTATCTGATGTGTGATTAGGGATGACTTATGCTTAAAAGCTTGTCCACACTCATTACATTCATAAGGTTTTACCCCTGTGTGGACTCTCAGATGTGCAATTAGATATGACTTTATTTTAAATGCTTCTCCGCACTCATTACATTCATACGGTTTCCCCTCTGTGTGAATTCTCTGATCCCTAATGAGAGAGAATTCCTGGTGAAAGACTTTTCTATGCTCATTACATTCATATGGCTTCTCTGCAGTGTCAAGGATCTGATCTCCTATGAGTTCTGACTCCTGGTCAATGTTTTCTTTACATCCATTGCACACATAGAAATCTGCTCCTCTGTCACTTCTATGTTTGCTGATAATGCAAGATTTGTAGTTAAAAGGCTTTTTACAGTAACCACATATACAGTGACTTCTAGCTGTTTGGGTTATCTGATTGACTTCCACATCTGTTTTATAAATAAGTGATTTCTCACTCTGGAAATGCTCTTGGGATTTCTTTCCTGAGTGTGTTTGTGGATGATTGTCAAAGTCAGAATTGTTATTTAATTTTTTCTCTTTAAACTGCACAGACTCTCCCACACTGACAGGTTGCTTATTACATGCGTCGCTGGTATAGACTTTCTCACTCACAAGGAATATCTTCCTCCTGCTGAAATTTTTTTCTTTCCCGTTGTGTTCAAAAGACTGCTGACAAGTGTGCATCTTATCGTGCTGACTGAGATTTTCCCCACTCTGGAGTTTGGTCTCAGGGAAATCAGAGGCATGCTTTATCTCAAGAGGCATTTCACCAGGGATCCTGGGGGAAGAAAAGATTTCCAATGAGCTATGGTGCCTTTCTTCTCTGCTTTTAAAAGCCAGTGGACTTCTAAGATCTCTTCTTGGAGGTGCTTTCTCTGCCCTGCATCCAAATTTACCTGGTCACTTAGCAATAAAGCTTCTATTGAAAACTGATTTCCTGTTTCTGTTTCTATAGTATGATCCTGAAAGAAGTTTTTCTGGTAACATTTGCTATGGTGTCACAATATAAGAGTTGAACAAAGACCCAAATCCAACCACTGCCTAACTCTAGCTAAACCTCCAGACAGATTACACTTTCAGAGGGGTGGAGGTAGGAAGTATAGCAGCTTAGCATTTCAGACGCACTACTCATCAACTACCTATTTGCACTTTTCTTACCAACTCAATTTTCATACTGGAGTCTAGGCTCTGGTTGCTTGTGTTTGCACAGCTCCTTAGGGAAGATTAGCAGTCCCTGGCAAGGGGCACTTTTCTGCATGACTTGAAACAGCCTAGGTGGATTCTGAATGCCAAGCACCTGACATGGTACCCAAGTTCTGGGCTTCTTTCTCATGTTTCAGGTTGGTTTATCCTCTCTTGAGGAATGATTCTTCTTGGCCTTGATAGTTTTTGTTTGTTTAAGATTTATTTTTTTTTATTAGGAAGTAGATACGCAGACAGGAGGAGAGGCAGAGAGGAAGATATTCCATCCGTTGATTCACTCCCCAAGTGAACACAATGGCTGGATCTGAGCTGACACAAAGCCAGGAGCCAGGAAATTCTTCTGGGTCTCACACACAGGTTAAGCGTCACTTTTGAAATTTTGTTGTCACTACCTCTCTCCATTCAAGAGGCACACCATCCCCTGGCTCTCTCCAAAGTAATGTAATTTCATTCCATCTGCTTTCTACATTCATCTAGTCACTTTCAAATTAACACTATAAATGAAATATATATGTATATATGAAGAAACAAATTATATTTCTTAAGTTTCATTTTTGTACAATTTCTCATTCATATCATGTTTCAATTATGGGCATAGCTAATATTAAGCATCCTTATCAGGGCCCTCTGAGGTATACCAGTGGCTAAATTCCTAGAATCAATGTACCAGGATCACATATGGGCGGTGATTCTAATCCAGGCAGCCCCGCTTCTCATCAAGCTTGCTTCATGTGGCCTGAGAAGGCAGTCTCAAGACAGCCCAAAGCCTTGGGATTCTGCAGCTGTGTGGGAGACCTGGAAAGGGTTCCGTGCTCCTCACTTCAGCTCTAGCCGTTGTGGTTGCCTGGGAAGTGAATCAATGCATGGAAGATCTTCCTCTCTCACCTTCTCTCTGTAGGTCTGACTTTAATATAAAAATAAGTATATCTTAAGAAAAAAGTCATCTTGGGCAACTCTCTTTTCGGGTATTATAAAATTTTTGTGATTACAACTTGCCTGAAGATTATTTCTTGATTTTCCTGATTGGTTCCAAGCAGTTCATTCTGTCTGTAGGAATCTGAAATGAGGAAAATGGTAACCATCTCCATGGAGCTCATCTAAGTTTTTCTGTTAAAAGGCTCAATTACAGCCAGTGAGGTTTATTGCCATTCTAAATACAGCATATTTTAACATTAGTGAAATGTGGACATTTATGAGCATAAATAATGAGCATTACTTCTTTATTACTGCATTAACATAACGACTTTTTAAATGAAAATTTCAGTTACTTGGAATTGTGCATTTTAAGTTGCTGCAGGATGGCAGTGAAAATGTGGCACAGAAACTCAAAATAAGGTTTGGGATGTCTTACATCCCGTAAGAGCACCAATCTGTCTTGGCTTGAGTACTCTGACTCAAACACAACTTCCTGAGAATGTATCTGGCAGGTGGCAGATGATGATTCAAGTGCTAGGGATCATGAAAAGATCAATAAGGAGTGCTAGATGTACGGATACAGGCTGGCCAATTTTGAAAGGCATTGCTAGAGTAAACCTACACATGAGGATCATGGAACTCCTGTGTCTCAACAGTTATCCTCTGGGAGGACACTTTAACAAACAAAAACAAAAACAAAAACAAAACAAAAACAAAAACAAAAAGTAAGGGTTCCAGTCCACCTTTAATGAGCTATGTGTCAACTTCAATGCCCACTAAGTGCTCACCTACCTGGAAGTCTCTGGTGTGTAGATTTGTCCACTGTCCATGGTGCTAAATCTCGTTCCAGGTTCAAGATCACATGAGGCTTTGTCAAGCTGAACCCTGTTCGTGGAAAATGATGTAGATTTTGTGACATCACTACTTAGTCTTACCTAGTATGGAACTTTAGAAACTCTCCTTTCATTTGTCAACCATAAAGAAGTGTTCTGTTTGGGCATGACAGATTTTCACTCACCCAAGGACAGCAGATTGTTATAAGTCTCAAGCATCACATCCCTGTACAGGGTCCGCTGAGTGTTGTCCATGTGCTGCCATTCCTCCTGGGTAAAGTCCACAGCCACATCTTCAAATGACACCAACACCTATAAAGTACATGTCTCCTCAGTTCTGGATCATCAAATACAAAGACTGACAGTGAATTGTATGTATATTCAATTTGCAACTTTAATGGATGCAATTTAATTTACAGCCTACACAGAGTAAAACAAAACAAAAATAAGTTCTCCTGTATTACTTGTGCAACTCCAATACTACAATAGAATATCCCTTATTATTCTCTTAAAGGTTGTTTTCTCTAAATATTTTGAATCTAAGGAACTTTTGAGGGCATTGTTTAAATAAACTTGCAAGAGGAAGACATCACACCCAGTTTGTCCCTATGATTGCCGTTCTGCTTTTTAATAAAATTAAACAATCTCTTTAACACTGAGCCAAACTATTAACTCAGTGCCTGTAATAGTAAGCTGAGTGCAATTTTTTTTGTGCTTGTTTAACTTGCACCTTGTGTGGATGCAGCTAAATTTACAATCTATATTGCAACATAGGGTAAAAATAATATGTTGTTCTGCAGTATTTTTGCAATTCTGAAGCTACAATTCCATTATGATTCTGTATCAGATTGGTTCCTACAACAATTCTAAAATGGATTAACTTTGTAATCTGCAGACACACACACTCACACAAACACATGGCAAATAACCTGTTAGATTGGATTAGGAAGAGACATGTAAAAATGTGTAAATATTTCTTAAATCTTACATTGGAAATAAAGATATATAAGTATCCCTTGCCATTATTTTTTAATTTTTAGTATGAACCTATTAAAACCATTTGTACTTTTTTATTTAGCTTTTATATGGAATTACATTTAAATCAAACTAAAATTTTAATTTCTTCATAGTGAACTGAGACTTAGAAGGAAACCAAACTTCAGTCTCATACAAAACTATTTTTTTGTAACAATAACTAATATCAGCCACTCACAATCAACCAGTTGAACAGTATATATACATATACATATACACATACAGCAAAGGCCATGTTGTAGCATCACTGCTTTTGCACAAGTTTGTGAAGCCCTTTAATTTTAATCTAAAGTTAGCAGGCTTTTCTCTGGTTATCTATTTACTCATTTTATTAGAAAAAGAATGAATATAGCTGATATACAGAATTTTAAAAAACAGAATTAACATTTGAAATAGCGTTTTAAACTTACATTGCATTCAAGATCTTAATCTCTAAGTGATTAAAAGGAAAAGAATATCATCATAGTTCAAGAGAAAAAGGCTCTAAATATCATGAATACAAATATGTCAATCACACCAGTTTACAAATACAGAACATTAAAACAATAGCAGAATATCTGTGGAATGTGCAGAATTTTCTTTTCACATTTGAATAAGTCAATGTTTTTGTTATTCATTTAATAATATTCAACAATTTTTAAGTGCAATATAGAAACTTATGAAGATTTATTCATTTTATCTCTCCGAGAATGCAAAAACGTGTTGTGAGAAAGGACTCCATTGATATGACACACTGTGATGAAAGCACTTGAGATTTAGTGCTGTGGGATAATTGTAAAGAGTGTGAATACCTGCAACTGCAGATTTCAGTAGATTTTAAGAATGTGGAAACCCAAGAAGCCCATAAGACCGTTAAAAAAAATCTCTCAAAAATTAATATTTCCTCATGAAACATGACCTTCATTCATATTTGTGGGCTTTCTGTCTCCTTGTTTTTCAAAAATTTATTTATTTGAAAACCAGCGAGAAAGAAAGAAAGACAATCAGAGAAACTGGAGATGGAGGTACCTAGGGGAGTTCGACTTCAGGGCCTCGGTGGTGAGAGGTTCGGGGCCTGGCTGCTGGATGATCTGTATGGATGAGATTGATACACCAGCCTACCTGTCAGTCCTATGTAGGTTTTGTTATCACCAAAGAATAGCAACCCCACAGAGTCAATGTGAAGGCTAGGACTGGAGTCCAGTCTAGCAGGGCTAGATCCTAGTACCTAACACAATGTCGGAACAAAAGATGGGTCACATTAGGCAGGGCTATCATACTAACCAGCATGCGAGACAACCAGGTCAGTAGGTAGATTCTGTGTTTGTGTGTGTGGGGGGGGGGGAGGTGTGTGTCAAACCCTGTGGAAATATAAGTCCCAATGGTCAGCTTCAGAGTTGGGGTAGAAATGGACTTAGCTAGGTGTGACCATGCAACTTATCATCACTCCTGGGTACAGGGACCAAGATAGGATGGCCAGATCCAAGTTGCAGCACTCAAATGTGCATCCTTAAACAGGATGTGGGGTGGGTCAGGCTGCAATGTACACCAGCTCATACAAAGCCAAGATGGAAGGACACTATGCTGGGCAAGGACCTAACAGCAGCTGGCATGTATGAGTTCTGGGTCTAGGAGTGGCCCAAGTAGGGGAACTTGGGAAACTAACCTACTGGGTCATAACTCCCACTGGTGATCACATGGTCCAGGACAAGGGGTTGGGCAACCTGGGGAAAGTAGTTCCAACTGTTGGCTAATGTGTGGGTTGGTTATGGAAGGGTGTGAACCAGGCAGGGCTAAGCA